CACCAGTGCATGATCACTGCAGCCCAGGCTGCCTCCAATCTTGACGTCACCGATTAGCTCACTTGCATTGGTGACCAACAGGTCCAGTATCGCATCCCCTCTGGTAGGGCTGTCTATTACCTGGCTTAAGTAGTTATCTTCAATGCCCTCCAGGAGTCTCCTGGATTGCCTACAGCTTGCCGTGCTACTTTTCCAGATGTTGGGGTGGTTGAAGTCCCCCAGCAGGATGAGAGCCTGTGAGCGCGATGCCTCCTCTAGCTGGAGTAAGAAGGCTTTGTCAATAGGCTCCCCTTGATCGGGCGGCCTGTAGTAAACACCAACCACAAGGTTCCCTTTGTTGCCTCGGTCTCTAATTCTTACACATAAGCTTTCAACCTGCTCATGACTATTCTTCAGAGACAGCTCTTCACAATCTATCAATTTCTTGACGTAGAGGGCAAGTGGGTAGGAGATGACAAGGAATCCCTTTTGACTTGAATGGGGCTTGGAATTGTTTCTGCAGCAGCAGTAATGCTCACAGACCTGTTTCCAGACATAAAGTATCAGGAGCCAACAAAGGATCAGCTGCAAGAGCTGGTATCGTGATCTCATCCACTGCTTTTTAGAATGTGGAGAAGAAGCAGGAACTCCACCTGTTCCTCCTTCTTTAGCATTCATCTAAATCCACCTGCCACCCTTTCCTGGGGTCACCCCAATGGCTCTGGGTGGGAGCATGGCAAGAGATTTTAATATTTTCCTGCTGTATTTGCATTAGTAGATGTGATGTGACTTCCCATATATTTGAAATGCCAATGGAACTGGTCCGGTTTACATCTCCCTAATGTAAGCTGACAGGCTTGAAATGTACTGGGGATCATTTGTATTAAGTACAACAGGGGCTGTGGAGAGAATACATTACTCTTGGTGTACTGAGGTCCCTTCCCACAGAGAGAGGCCCCCATCCTGGGGAAACTTGCCTTTGTTTTTTGAGACAGCCACCATAGTGGTGTCAGCTACTCAGAACATTTTGCCTCTTGCTGTTCATTCCTTTCCCAGCCATGGACTATGGCGTACCCTCATCTCCATTGGAAATGACACCCAACTCCTCCTCCTGCTCTCTCCATGGGCACCAAAGAAATTGATTTTGATAGGGAGGTGGGGAGAGATGGCCAGAATGGATGCGCTCTGAATAGCCCTGCCTGATGCTGATGGCCCCTTGCCCCTCCTCTCCCTCCCCACAGAGGCCTGCAGGCAGGGCTGGGAATGCTACCTCCAATTAAAGGGAAAGTCAGTGGGGCTGATGGAAAGGACAGCACTGGGAAGCAGAGCTTGCTGCAAAATGCAGATACAGCCAAAGTGCATTAAAGATTTGTAAAGACCTCTCTAGCGCCTATCAGAGCAGGATTCAATCAACATAAGCTTTTTCCTGCCTCAAAGAGCCACTGCAGGTTGCTGAGAAAGTCTAAACAATAGGCAGAGCTGTTGTCACGTCCTCCCGCTATGGTGTGACTGACAGAAAGGCTGTACCTACAGGGCTTCGACATCCTGCCAGAGCTTGGGACTCTATGGATACAGCTGAACAACTTTGCTCATTACCTTACAACCTTCATGTCACTGGTCCTACACTGAGCCCTTGAAAAGTCATGAGGAAATGCAGAATACATGCATGTGACAGGAGCCCTTTGGCCAGCATTGCAATGCCACAGCTCACCCCTTCCCTCTCCCTTTCGGCGCATGAATATACCACATTGTCAATTTGGAAAAGACTGTGTTCAGGTCTCAGATCAAGATATGAGACTGTTGTGCTATCCTGAAATAATCCAATAGTCCAAGCCAGCACAGTTGGAGATTCGGTTGAGCTTGAGGATAGTGTTACAAACAGAAAGATGGAGGAGTGGACTATCCTCCACTAAGCTGAATAATGCCAGAAAACAGCAAAGTACTTTAGGAGATTTTTGTACTCCAACTCTGCCAGTCTGCTAGCCTCGCAGAGTTTGATAAGCATCAGACATGCAACAACCTGCCTCTTACCCAGAGATGTCCTGGCTGGTGTAGAGTCTCTCTTGATCCAGAAGGAAACCCAGGAAAGAACAACAGTCAGGATGCAGGGAATGTAAGTCTGAATGGCAAAATAACCCATACGTCTACTTAGGTCAAAAGAAACTGTCATCACCATGTACTCCCCTAGGAAAAAGCAACAGAGACATTGGAATGATAACATGTGGCTTCCTAAAACACAAAAATCAGCGAAGTTTCAGAATTTGGAGTGTTTTTGATGAGGTTTTCTTGTTGTTTTAAGTGCCTGGCTGCTGGTTTTGTGGCTGGCTTTGTGGCTGCCCAGATTGTTAGCTTCATGGACAGCTGCGTGGCTGGCTGAGTAGGTTTGGTGACTCGCTGGCATTGTGGCTGGCTTGCTGGTTTTGTGGCTAGTGGACTCTGTGGCTACCTGGCTGGCTCTGTAGCTGTCTGACTTAATGTCTTTGTGGCTAATTTAAGAGCTGACTTCGTGGTTGCCCAACTGGCTATCTGCCTGGCTGGCTATGTGGCCACCAGGCTGCATTTGTACTGGCCTGGCTGTGTGTCCAAGCACACTGTAAAGCACACTGTCTTGAAAAGTTTCAGGGACAAAACTATAGAGAACATTCATCTTCAGCTGATTGCTGCAAGGGTTTCTTTTCTATAGAAGCTATTTAGCTGTAACAGGCTACATGGCCTGGCTTGCCAACTAACTACCTGAGCTGTGACAAAGGAGGTGTCCTTCAATCACTTTTGTCGAGACTCTGGTTCTGCCCCTGGAAAAGGCATGTGGTGCTGTACATCTTAATTGCTCATTTGGCAACTTACAGCTGAGGTTCTTCCTCTTTTTCAGAGGCTCCTAGTGAGGAGTGGAAGAAAGCCACCTGACAGCTCTAGGGTTAAGATGGAGCTTGCAAGCAATTACCACAAAAGAGGATTACAAGTGTCAGACAGCCACTGGTGCATTCAAGACACTTTCACTGCATCACTTCTTGTCCTGGTTTGTGCTGCCTTTCTACCCCGGTTAGAGGCTAGCTGCCGGTGTTGGCAGCAGCAGCTTTCTGCAGAGTGGGAGAAGCACTACCTGAACTTGCTGCTTCAGAGGGCTTAAAAATATAAGCTCACCCCACCTGCAGGAACCCAAAGAGGCTTTCCTCAGTTGTCTGTGGGAAGGAAAGGGGATGTGAGCTATTACAAGGAGGAGGAGCTGAAGGGCCTCCATTCCCTGGTTTCTTCACACATGCAGCCTTGTTCCTGTCTCTTAAAGCATAATTCATGTGTTCATCAGCCCTACACAACTTTACAGAAGGAAAGATTGAGACCTGCACGTTCTGATTTCTCCACCCCTGTTCCAATTATAAGCATCACCCAGGGATTGCATAGTATGCACATACTGCAGCAAGAGGGGATCTGAGCTCCATCTCCTCTCCCTCCTGACCCTTCAATTAGGGATAGCTTCATTCACATCAGCATTGTCACCCCACAGTTCACAGATGTCAGTGGTTCTGGCCTACCCCTGCTTTGTCTTCCCTTCACCCTTCATCTCCATCACTTCTGCTCCCTCTAGCAAAGGTCCATCCCTTCATTCTTAACGTTTATCTAATTGTGCTGTTGTGACCTTCCTTCCCCACCATTGTGGAGCTGTCTGATGACTCCTTTGCCTCCCACGAGTTCTCCAACACATTGGCATTTCTGTGGGCTGTCTCCCTTTGACTCACCTGCTCCAGTCCTGAGAACTTCCGAGGTGTTCCTCAGCCCTGTGAAGTCAAACTGGTAGAGCCTCCAGGTGCGCTGGTCAGAGACCTCAATGGAGTAGCGCCTCCAGCGATAGACAATCTCCTCGCGTGGGTAGCCATCTGGGAAAAGGGGCAAGGACATCAATGAAAGAGTATGTCATGTGCCTCCACCTCATTCACCACCCTGACTGCAAAAGCACTGGTATCTCACTCTAGCTGTTTTGTAAACATGAAGCTCTCAGGTAGGTATTTCTGATGCCTTTTGTTTAGATTCCCTTAGGCATCCCCACATGCAATGGGAGTAGGGATAGCATCTCCCCTTGTGGGCTGCTTCAAATCCTAGGGATGGGAAAAGCAGTGCTAGAAAGCCTTTCTAAGGACTGCACTGGTGGGAACGAGACTTGAGTTGTTGTAAGCGGACTCCCCCAGCCTGAAATCTTTAAGGGATTTAGCACCTGGGGCAGCACGGGGCCTTCACCACTCCTCATCACTACCTTCCCTTCCCAGGCATGAGTACACCAGGAATACAAAGGTGCCAACATGGGAGGTAGCATGACTCTGGCTGCTCTGACTATCTCCGTACCTCTCACCCTGGGAGCTGATCTATGCATGGAAAAGAAGGGATGCATTCTCCATGGAGAAGGAGACCTGGCTCCTGCAGGCTGGAGCAGGGCTCCTCCTAGCTCTGGCTTTCTTGACAAAGAAACAAGGCTACTGTGAAGGAGGGACCTCAACACCTACGAGAGAATTCCTCAGAGGAAGGAAGGAGCAAGAGCTTGGCAGCTATCTAAAAGTGTGTTTCTAATTATCAAGCATGTATGGCATGCACTGTTAATTAGCAAAGAATGAAGGATGGTGGGAGACGAGGGGATGGTTATCTCCTCAGAATGCTGCCTCCCTCTGAAGCACCTCAGAGCCACATGAGCTGCATCCCTTCAGTGGCAGAGGAAGCAGGAGAGGTGAACCCAAGCTAAGATGACTAAATCAGATTTCCAACCAACGCATGAGGACAGGAATCTCTTGGTGCAGAAAGGCTCCCTGCAAAATTACCAGTGGAGATGTGCCAATATCAGCAGCCCTGTCTGCTGATGAGAATGGACAAGTGGGGACTGAGAGGGGAGGTCTGAGTACCCCTCCTTTGCGATGGCCTTGGGTGCAGAAAGTGGGCCTGTCTCTGGGCTGAGGTCTGGAAAGCCAAGCTGTCCCCTCAGAGAGCGGGAGAAGGGGCAAGATGCAAGGCAGGACGGGTGCCATTTGTCTGCCAGCTGAAGGGATATATTCTGTCTAGTAGGTCAGAGTGACCAGAAGGTCAGTGAAATAATCACCTCCAACTGTCCACCCAAATTAAGGAGAAACTCAGAGGTGCTGTGAATCTGTCCCTGAAGACCTCTGCTAGCCCAGGAGTGGGAGGATGCTTCAGGGAATGACGGGTAATAGCCCAGGAAAAGAGTCATAGACATTAGGTGAAAAATGTAGCTAAAAGGGAGGATGGTCTCGCCAGAAGAGTTTTACTCTGCTGAGGCTTCTCTACTTGCCTTCTAAAACTATTTTAAAAATATGTATACTCACAACTGGAAAAAACCAAAGGGCAGGAGTGAGTGTCCATTGGGAAATTCTGCAGCTGCAGCAGACATTCAGCCTCGATTGTTAGTCTGAGAGAGGAAGAGAGAGAGAGGGAGACTGAGATTTTGTGTTGGTGAAGGTGGTTTGTTTCCAACACCACAATGTGACAGAGGGATTCTCGCTCTCTTGAGAGAGAAACACCTATTTGTTGAAGATCAGTCTGTTTGCAGGAACATTTCAAAACAGCAGCAAAACAAAACATATGTTTGGATATTTTCAAAGTGAGAAAAAATATCTAATTTTCACATTCAGAAAGACTTTTTGTTTAGTGAGCTTTTCAGATTCATTTATGGGGGTGAGAATTTATGGGAACAAAAGCCAAATGTTTATTATCAGAACAAAATAGCTGGACTGACCAACATAAACTTTTAAAGGATTTTGGTTTAGGAAACTATTTGTAGTTTTGACTTTTTTCTAGGTATGATATGGAAAAACAGTTTGATTTTTTGGAAGCCTTCATCCTGGGAAGAGGAAGCCCATTCTGCAACCAGTACTGCATGTGTACTCCCATCAGCACTAGGAGACATCTCCACTACTCTGTCCCAGGGCACCTGGAAACCTCCTCTACTTTGACCAGCTCCTTGTTCCCTCACGTCAGCAACCAGCTACAGTGCCTGCTGGATATACCTGAGCGTGTAGAGCACTTTTCCGTCATTCCAGATGCGGAGGAGCTGATTAGGAGTGGTTATCCAGTGGGAATCGGCCCGCTTGGAGTTCCTAAAAAAGGTATCTGGGATCCAGATGCGGCTCACCATGTTGGTGTTCAGCGTGAGGGCCTTCAAGGTGCTGTTGAAACGAAGACGCCGGTCATACCACGTCTGAGCAAAGAAGATATCAATGGTGTATTCCTGTGAAAGAGAAGGAAGAACATGTCTTTCTGAGAGGGATTCAGGCAAAGCAGAGCCCTGTCCTCTGGTCTGCAGGCCACTGTTTTGGAGTCACAGCCAGAACATTTGCTTTTTAAGTCTGGGAGCAGGTGTTGGTGACCACTGACACCTTTGCAGGCTCATCTTTAGCTTGGGGTCAGGACATCCATGGCACACTTAGGAAGAGCCAAAGACTGTGTGTTGACTGGTGGGCTGAGCCATAGCATGTTTGGCCTGACCCATGCCTGGAAAGCCAAGAGCATATGAACAAGGGCTTGGGCTTCCTCTTGATGGAGAACTTAAGCCAAACATTCCTTTTAAACACAGGCATGAAGGGGCAGTGTGGGCATTGGCTGAATCCAGTCCTAAGTTCAGCTACACGTTTCAAACACAGGCAAGGAAAGCTGCTCACCAGCTTACCAGAGAAGGCAAGCAGACAGCTCTTTCTGTTATTTATTAGGATACAGCCCAGCAGTGCTCCATACATCTACTTCGTACATATAGAAATAGTAGTGTTGTGCATAAACCTAGTGAGAATCCATCCCTTGCTGCAGGACTTAAATGGTTTATATAATGTAATGGTTTATATGTAAATGGTTTATACGAAAAAATAGGGCACTAGGGTTCCTGGGCAGATACCCCTTGCTGAAGATTAGAAAAGGAAACTGGGGCAGGGGCTGCTATGGACCCAGCTCTTGGTGCAACCAGTTCAAAATCTTGAGTCTTTTCAAACAGAGTTTCCACCATAATGAGGACCTTTGGTTCTGGTGAGAGACAGGGTGTCCTACCTCACCCATAACTAGCATTTCTGGGAGGCAGCACCTGTCTGGATTGGACTGGCAGTAGTCCACACCATTGGCCCACTGTTCTGCTGCTTGCTGCTGCAAGCCAATTTGCCCCTTACCCTCTTTTTAAGCCTGCCTGAGAAGGTGCTAATTAGTGCCATGCAGGATCATGTCTGGCACTCAGTGGCTGTCTGAACCAGACTCCCAAATCCAGTTCCACCAGCCTATACTAAAGGCTGTCACCTGCTCCTGACAGCTCTTCTCTGACTCGGACTTTGCTCCCTTTCACTCCTGTTAAACCCCCATGACCATGGAGGCGTTGTCTCTCTCTCTCCTGTGGGCAGAGATGAACAATGTCTGACTTTGCCATCTCTCCCTCCCATTCTCTTTCTCCCTCTATTGATTTATCTCGGTGGAATTTTTATGACTGCAGCACATCCTCCCTCCATTGCCCTCGCTGCTGGTTCAGAGCTGACTTCCTCAAACCATGCCGTTAAAATAGATGCGGAGCTCTTAGCGCACTCCCTTGGACAGCATGTCCTGCCTGAGGAGGCAGAGCAGGGCAGTGCACGACTCCTCGCTTCATTTTCCTTGCCCTCGCTCCACTGTCAGGCAACCTGTGATGAGTGATTGGTACCAAAAACGTCCCTTGCATAGGAATGAGATCATGAGAAAAAAGCATTTGCCATCAGGCAGTTGAGTCACTCTCTGGGCTGATCCTTCACCCTGGTTAGACACAGGGATGAGCAAAGGCAATGGGGATGAGGTCCTAACATACCTCTAAATGGGGACAAATGCAGCATGTTCAAAGTGATGGTGTTCCCTCTACAGTTCATTCAAAACAGACATGAGGAGACAAAGAGCTAGGATAGCAGCAGCCCTCAAAGCCAAGTGCACAAGCATGGCCAGTGCCGAAAACAGGAGGTGGGGAGAGCCCATTCCAGCATCTGAATGCTCTGGATCGCACTGGGTACTGCTTGGAGATAGGGTGTGGTGATGAAGGCATGAAACATGTTGTGAAACAGTGAAATAAAGCCCACAGGCAGGCAAAGAAGCATTGGCACAGCAGGGACAAAATGGGGTAATGGCAGCCCAAGAAAATGACATATATGGGGAGGGCTGACTTTATTCTGCTTGGGGTAATTTTCTTTTCTTTGCCAGCTGTTGGGGCCAAAATAAAACAACATTTGACATATTCTCCCCCACCCCTGCAAACACTGTTTGAGCCAGTATGAGCTTACATTGCTCCTCCTCAGCAATATCTCTGCTGTAGGAGAAAGCAACTAAAAATGCAATGATAAATGCATGTTAGATGCCACTATCAGTTTCTAACTCCTAACTGGAGTCACTTGTGAGATCTCGCTTCTGGGCTGGCTGCTCAGGTCAGATGTCCTGCTGTAAAGGTCAGCATTCAGGTCTGGGATAACCAATGCTAACGTTTCAGGAGAGTGGAGGGTCAGCTATCCCAGGGGTTTAGTATTTGTTGTCAAGCCTAGATTTTCAGAAGGGATCAGCATTAAAGAGCTCCTCTTGTGCCACTAATAGCCAGCCTTTGCAAAAAGTCACAAAAAGCTGTGCATAAGTCATTCAGCTCTTCTGAAAAATCTGAGCTGTTATTGTCACTGTCCTGTGGTTTGATCTAATTTCAGTGGCTATCATAAGCCCAGCTATTTACACGGAAGAACTTACTAGCTGAGCTGGCTCCCTTGCCTCTAGGTGGGGAACCCATTGGGAAACATTGGCATTTACAAATGTATTTTCATTCAGAATTATCTGAGGCAAGATTTATACAAAAATTATCCGGCCTTTGGGACCACTTTTACCCTTCTGATTCTCTCCCCCATCCTGCTGGGGGGGAGTAAGCAAGCGGCTGTGTGGTGCTTAGTTACTGGCTGGGGTTAAACCACAACAGTTCCTGAAGACTTTAGCACCCATCAGGTGTGGTTTGCATTGATGCTGAGGAACCTTGCACGACTGCGGCTCTGCACTGATCAGCTGTGGGACAGTGCTTAGACCTTTCTCTGAGCATTAATCAGATCCCACTTAGCTGTAGGCATCTGAACAAGGTGATTAAAATAGGAGGTGTTTGACCATGGGTTCCCTACAGTCACTAGAGAGGGGTAGGCACTGGAGGGAAACCCCAATATGAAGCAGTCCAAGTTGTCTTCTGGAAATGCCTCACACTCTTACTGACCTTAGAAGAGTCCAGGCTGATCAAAGCTGAATAGCTGAAGTTTGGCAGGATGAGCTCAGCCCCTAAAACTTACGGCAGTACTGTTTCTTGAACTCCTGCACTCCTGCAGATTCTTTCTGCCCCTGATTCATTCTCAAGCATCAGAAAGAGACTTCTCAATACCTCAATTTCCCCATGTGGAAAAAGGTTATTGTAAAATACGCCTCCAACATTACTGTACCATCTGCTGTGCAGCACATGGAGGTTGCTAACTTCTGTGTAAAAGCACGGGCTTTTTTAGTGTTTTCAACAGAAGGAGCTAGCGAAATAAGAGGAGTCGCTGTAAGAGTCAGGTCATGCCATTTGGATCACACATCACGTAGCACACACATGTTGGCATGCATGCAATATTACATCAAACTTCAGTCATAAAAAATAATACATCAAACTACCCATAAGGCAAACACTGAAGACTGCCTACCCTAAATACTATCACGTGAGTTTCTTCAATGCTGAGGAACACCCTGCAGTGTCACCGCTACTAGTTGTGTGGGCTCATGTCCAACTCAGCCTTTAAGCATGTCCCTGCTGGCCCTTCGTCACCATCATCACCTGGCACTGCCACACATCACTGATCAGTCCTCGTTTTCCTCATGTGAGCAGCACAGATGCTGGTGGAAACCCAGTTCTAGAAAATGGTAAAATCTGAAAACATTTAATGGAAAAAAACCTGTCCTGTAAAAGAGCATTTGTGGGAGACAAGGGGATGTGAAGTTGACAAGAACATTTCATCTTGGAAGAAAAAATTAAAACAACAACAAAAAGATTTTACTGCACTCTCAAACCCTTTCAATTTTAAAAACATAGTTTAAGTGAAAAGCTATGGAATTTCCGTGCGAAAAGTCATTTCAAAGAAAATCCCAAATTTTTCAATCCAAAAGAAAATAAACAGGTTCAGAAATCAGCCTGTCCCCAGCACAAGAGAGTTGGGAGCTGGCCACTGTTCTCATTTTGTGCTACCCTAAGCCCTGTTCCTTGGGTCTTCCCAGCCCCAGCCACTCTGCCCTAACCTTCATGGCCCTGGAGCACCTCTCTGCTCCCCATCCTGATCTCCTGATACAACAAGGACATCCAGCCTGGCTCCAGTTAGCTCCTCCCTGTGCCTCCTCTCTCACCTCTGTGTGTATGTGCACACACATGGGGAATCAGCCCGTATTTCCAGTTGGATTTGGCCGCAGGAACTCTACTCTAGACTAAGTTCCACCCTGGGTTCAGAGCAGATATGAGTTAGGGCCACCCAGTTTCAGACTGACAGCTTAAACTCACAGGGTTAGCATGACACAACTTGAAATTAGCAGTTTGTATTTTCAGGTTACCTTATACACCAAATAAACACAGTGTGCACTGCCAGAAGATCCTTTTCAAATGGCTCAAAGCAAGTTTGTGTGTGCAGTTCAGCTGACCCCTCTCAAGGGTGCAATTAGTGGGATACAGAGGAGTTGGTACCCCATGGTTCCTCTGTATCCATCTATGAGCTTCTTTCTCTGTGTTCTTTAAGAGCTCAGCTTTCTGACAAATGCCAAAGAGAGAAGCAAAGCCATGAGATGAAGATGTCTTAGATGTCTTCCTAAATTAGGATAAAATTAAGGATTTAAAGGTGCTTTTGGCAACTTCACTTGTATTCAACAGCAACAAGAAAACCTCTAAATAGAGGAGACAGAGACCTGGAAACAGGTTTCTCCATTTTCCTCTGCTGGAGAGATAGCTTGGAAAGATCCTAAATAACAGTGGGGCTAAGAGATTAATATCCTAGCCAGTCTCATTCTAGCTGTTACTGTTCTGATATTTGTCTTTATTCATAGAGCCCCCTTCCCCCTGCACCTCCAAGCAAATCCCTTGCTGCAGTGCAATGAAGCAGGCTGCTTTCCTGAGAAGCATGGCCAGCATTTCAGGTGGGCTGATGTGAATCTGATGGGTCCGTGCTGTCAATCACAGAGCTAAGCAAAACAAGAATTATAAGCAAA